CGAAAACGTCCAGTCGACGGATATCTTCTACTCGCAATATGAGAGTGGTGAACAAAGGTGCAGTAAGGCTGGTATGAGCTCAATCTTTAAACGGTAATCAGATACCACTTCCTCGACACAGACCACTGTGACAAAAGGTGAACAGCTCCCAGTAATATACACAAACCCAATGACAGCTGAGCGATAAGGATCGATGAAAAAACGTTTTTTTTTCAAGTTCAACTCAATGTTTCTCTCCTCACGCGCATTTGAATTACACGGTCATATTTCACACTCGTCAACCGATCTTTTTGACTCTCTCAAATACACAAACGGTCCGTAGCACAAAGTTGTCCGATACACGATATAATATGGTGGAACAAGGTGTATCGATTTACTGAACAATCAGGTACACTATAATCAAAAATCTCAAAGAAGAAGCGTTGTAATACAGGAACTAGATACTAAACTACGTTATCCGAAAGTTTTTACTGTGGAATCGGGAGAACAGAAGAGGCCATAGAAGTCAAACTACAGTCATCTCGAGGAAATGAGCTCCTATCATGATGAACGCTCAAGCTCGACGAGGTATGCCTAGTTTTGCCAAGTAGGCTGTAAATGCACCGCGGGGGTACGATAAATATTGGCGAGCACGTGAATATGCACTTATGCGTACCCAACAGGAGAAACCGGGAAAGCCATAATTACATTTTGTTCTCCTACCCAACCCGTTTGTACTTGTCAGAGGTCGCGGTCAGAAGCTCATTCATAGAACAATGTGAATTCAGACCAAGCTCAAGCCACAACCGACCGGACGAAAAAACACAGATAATGATCACATCTCCTGTGTTACAAAGACCAGTGGTTTACTGGTGAACAGATCACCCGATATGTCACGGCTGGCGGAATTCATGGGAATGCGTAAGGACAATGAATTTAAATGGGGTGGGGAGGGCGTGAACGGACCCAAGCATGCATCAATGATTGATACCGGTGGAATGCATTCACAACTGACTGAGATAAAAAAAGACGACCGACACTGACAGCAAGCAAATGAGTTCTGCAGAAAAACAACTGAGTCCATTAGGGAAAAAAGAAAATGAAGCAACCATTTGGGTGTGGAAGATGGAATGATGGGTAATTAGACGCTAGCGAAGTAAAAAAACGAAGGTGAGTGTATTCGTGGGATCACACATGCTATCACATACGCGTGCGAGCACACACACACACACACACACACACAAACAGTGACGTGACAAACCAAGTACTGGGAACCATTTTCATGTTAGCCCTTGTGACCATTTTGCCAATAAGAATGACATTGGCACTAAAAAGAAGAAGCGAGCGAAAAGAAATTAGTTGGGTGTGATCGCAGTTAGTACATGGAACAGGTGACGTATTTCATCTTCAGTCACATCACAGTTCAGTGTCAAACGAATGCTCGGTGGTGGCACATGAGAGTCTATGGTGAAAGCGTACCTGAAAGAAAAGAACAGAAGGGCAAGGGACGGATGGGGAGGGGGGCATGAGAAACACAAAATTTCTAACTTGATGAGAACTTCAGAATTCATTTGTTAAGATCAACAGATACAAGAACATGGAACACTAATGGTCAATTGGT